CGTCGCGTTTGCAATCGCGCAGCTGGAGGCTGCACACCGCGAACAAAGAAATGGAAACGCGAGCGCATCTCACATACGATTGGCCAGTCTCACGTGCAGTCAAACTGACGTGGTTTGACGATAGTGCATTTGGTATGGTCAGATGCTTCCAGCATCCAAGAAAGGCTTGGAGGGATCCTACATGGTTGCAACTGTTAAAAAATACATCTTTCGTAAGGGATCATTCTGCAGCTATTAGAAAGAGTATGTTGTTATCGCTGCAGGGATAAGACGACCAATTTCACGCCAATGTTGCAGCGGGATGGAATGTGTCGGTGGTAGTCATTACCAGAACACTACGATAAGGCCAAGGCGATAGAGCGATGTATGTACTTAAAGCTCAGCCGCATCCTCTGAAACAGTCATATGCTGTTTCAACGACCAACAAACGATACATGCCCGAAATTGAAAGTACTTTGAGAGAAACGCCTATGTTATATTTTCAAATGAAACACATAAGCAGACACCATCAGACAGAAATCAGCGGATTTCGGTTGTTTATCAGCCAATTGGCGGCCAGATAGACCGTGCTAAAGCAGCCCACCGTGGGGGTGCAGCCATATTTGACGCTACGTATGACAGCGCCAACTTACGGCAAAGCAAAACGTGAGACAAAACCTCGCATGCACTTGAACTGAACCTATGCGAAAATTTGCTACATATACAGCTGCCGCTTTTGATAAAATCGATAGCCCGGGACAACACCCCTGCTTCAACTAAATCTGTTCGTATGTGGTGATTCATGCGGTACCCTGGCCACCCTTAACGAAGGGCGCTCCGATCGTTCCTGACCCATATTTATCCAGATCCTGGCGGCCACGTATAGTCGTCCGATCAAAGCGCAGAGCCTTGCGCTTATTCCGCTGAGCGGCAGCTGCAGTCAGCCAGCGTGTTGGGGCATTTAAACCGGTTCTGCAGTGACGAGCGCTTGAGCCAGTCCCTAACTGATGGCCTGAGCTTATATCGCTTTCGGCTCGGTCCACCCACTTCTTGGAAAGGTTAGCGTAGGCACGAATATAGTGTGGTTAAATTGAAGTTGTTAAACTATGTTTACCGTATTACGATAAAGTTACCTATGAAATGGATGTGTGCACTTCGGAGTATCACTAGTACTCTCAAGCTACACTGCAAAATAGTAGTTTGCTGATATATGGTATTTATGACGTAATACTTTGCTTTTGTTTTATTTGACAATCAAGGGTCTTTTTCTCCCCTTTTTGTGACACAGACTAAGGTCGCAATTCTGGAACAGAATTAGACAGCAGTATTACCTATGGCGGAAAAGGCATTTGCATAAAATGCTATGATGAGTCTCAACACGAAGCGATTTGTGTGGCATAACTTATGATGCGTAACTAAGAGCAAGCAGTCCTTTACTTGTAATACATAGCTTGGAAATCTGGGTAATTTTTAGAAATATCCTGAGCAATTAAAAACGATCTGAGGGTCAAGACCATGCACACCAACAGCCCATTCTATCATACGTTTACGCGGTGTGAAATATTGACCTGCTTTCCGTGACACATGAATGACGTCGAAATGTTTACTTTTTGCCTAGTCAGGCGTGGATCTTCAGTTTCATAATGGTCGTAAATCGTGTTTTATTTATGACACATTCGTGTCTATTCTTGTTGCGGGTTGACCTTAAATCCGTTCTTACGACCGGTTAGCTAACAGACACCTGCGATTTACCTTTTTGCATTCCATCATAGCCTAAAGCTTTGTCGCTAGCTCGCTTTCTTACTCCTTCCACCTGCCTCTCCTCGTTTTCTCTCGTTCCTTCCTCGCCGAGTCTTCTCCTTCCGTCCACTTTCCTCTGTCTCCATCCGTTTCTCTTTCATTCTCTCTCTCTCTCTCTCTCTCTCTCTCTCTCTCTCTCTCTCTCCTCTCTCTCTCTCTCTCTCTCTCTCTCTCTCTCTCTCTCTCTCTCTCTCTCTCTCTCTCTCTCTCTCTCTCTCTCTCTCTCTCTCTCTCTCTCTCTCTCTCTCTCTCTCTCTCTCTCTCTCTCTCTCTCTCTCTCTCTTTCTCTCTCTGTATCTTTTTTTCTCTCTCTCTCTCACTCTCTCTCTCTCCCACTCTGTCCTAGCTGTGCACGACTAACACCAAGTTGCAGGGATTCACATGGTGAAATCCTACGTTGAGTAAATTTTAGCAGACACTCTAAGTATCTTAAACTTGAAAGCAAGGTATGCACCTAAAGTGCATCCACTCAAATTTGGACACATCATACGCAGAAACGTGGGGCAGTGCTTGGGCGCGTTCGGAACCCTCCATACTAGCAGTCCCACACTCCCCATACCGTTTCACATCCCGATCAGGACACGAGTCTGCCGTAATTTCGGCCCGCCGCCAATTCGGCCGCCGAAGCCCACGCCCACGATCCGCCTGCGTGACCCCTGACCTCAGTTGACCCAGGGGTGGCACTGTCGCCGGCCGGGGCCCGAGGGCTGGCGACCCGCGCTGGACTGCCTGCCGCCAGCGCGTAACGATCGTTATTAGGCGGGCGGAGGGCCGGAGGTCATGATAGGCATGAGGAAGTGCCGGTGTTCCTTACCGGAGCGGTGCAACGGCCGGGCGTTACGGGTGGGTCGGCCGATCACCCCGGCCGCCGCGCGCGCCGCGAACAAACACCGACGCCCACCGAGGGCTGGCCATGCCGAGCTTCAGGTGCTTCGACATCTGGGGTGTTTGTGAATGCGAGCTCTGAGAGGAATCTAGTGTCTTCTAAATGCATTGTGAATTCGTCATAATTGGAGCTAGATGCTTAAAGGCGACGTTTTGATGTCATTACTTAAGCGACATTTTAGCGCTGTGATTAAGTCCAGTTGTGAAATCCTATAGCCTCATCATCAGACACCTATTGAGGCTGGTCCGCAAATGAAAGATAGCGTCAATCGCTTAGTGCGATATTCTTTCGTAAATATTTGGTTCTTGCTTTCATCTATTCCGTGCGAAAGTATCTATCACCAAATATTTGCTCGAATCAATTTTGAGCAGAATGTAACCCGCCTGATGCATGTAACACGTTCGAAAACGCATCGCCGACTGAGCGTTGCCCCGGTACCCGGTTAGGAAATACCCCGGTACCACCCAGGGTATTTCGCGAACGGCGACCGCATGGAGTTGAAAATAATGTTCCTATTTCCCCTGACCTATCCATCGGATCGGACGAATTGAATGGCAACCATCAGCCTATGCATTCTGATCTAGGTTATACTGACAGATTTCATATGGTCGATGACGTCACAAATTATGTGAGGCTTAAACGCATTAAAAAAAAAAATATTGAGGGTTCGGGTTGTCTAGCACCCGTAAGAACAACCATTGGGCCTTACGACCGACACCGAACGAAAGAGAATGTTAGTGCACTTTGGAAGTATTGCTAGTGAAGGTCAAAGTTAAAGGTCAGATAAGATCAAACAGTACCAAGCATACTTAGCTAATGCTTCCAGTTGCATGACTTATGATGATATGATGACGCGGCCAAAAGTCATCAGGTTGTAAAATGCTAATTTTACTTGCCTTTTTAGCGCAATAGTGTGACATAAACCATTTGGGCTCGATACCCAAGACAGGTTCATGCGGCCTTTGATGGTGACCAGGAGTGACCTAGTGTCGTAAGACGGACTACAACAGGCACTCAGTCAAGCTAGTCAGTGCATTAAGCGAATCTAAAACAAGGCAAGAAATTTAAAATTCGTATAGAGAAGGGTATACTAATCACGCAGATATTTAGTAATAACGCTATGTCATCGTGACTTTTCCTAGCTCTGCAAGAATATTTTTACAAGAATGCGTCAGCTGAACACAAAAGCAGTAATACACATTTGAAAGATCGGTCTGGTAGGGCCTGCAAGGTGTTCCAGGAAATCGGAGGCGTGCAAGGTACTTTAACCCACTGGCGTTCGTCGGTGATGTACCATCTTCAGCGAGCAGCTAGAGGGGTCCGAAGTTTGCTTTATCAGATAGCCAGGATCTAGGTATCTGTGCGCATTTGGACACGAAGCTTTCTACGTCATGAGAAAGACTGGGAATAACAAGGACGCATTCTAGGAAGACTGCAACGCTGAGACGTACAATATCTGGAGACTGCAATGCACAAAGGTCCTGAAGGTTCGGCAAACGCACTCTTAAAGCTCTATTTCTGTTTATGTTGTGATAGTCTCAGGCAAAGCGTAGAATTTGAAGGAGTCCTTTTTCTTTTTGTGTTCTCTCTCCCCTTTGCTCTTTTATTATTGTTATCGTTTAGACCCGTTAGGACATATTTAGAAATCCGGAGTCGGGAAACAGACAACGCATGCAACACCACTGCACTCGCGGCAGACGACGAGGCGTTCTTCTAAGATAGGCATGGCACCCGTCCATGGGCCAGTGCTTTAGCACAGAGCCTCATGGCTCAGCAGTAGGCAGAAAAAACTATTCTTGCATCTGTGGAATGTGGCCATGACGTGCACAGCGCAGGCGGCGGCTATGGCCTTTGTCTTCTTGATGCAGGCAATGCAGCTTTCGGCCTCTTGATGTACGTCACGAACTCAAGGCAGATGCGTGCATGTGGTAGCAGGTGTTCGTGCGGAACATGATTCTGCATGAGAACCTTGACTTGCATGAGAGCCCTGCGTAAGAGTCTGCCTAGATAAACTGCACATGGAGATGCCCTGTCAGAGAACAAGGATCGTGTATTTGAGGAATCCATGCCAGGTCTTCGGATATTGGCCCTGCATGCCAACAACTTCACCTGGTCCAAAGGCGCGCTCAGGAAAAACTGGCACGACCTGGTCACCAGACGACACTCCGAACAAATCAAAACTCTCATTCCCTGACAGCTCCACCATCCGTGCACCCGCCTACCACTGCCCGTGCGAGCCCCCTCACCTGCCGGCCTGGCGCCGCCCCTGCCAGCATCATCTGCCGCACCGTGGCCTCCGCCGGCCGCCGCTTTTGCTTTCACCGGGCGGCGGCAGCGGCGGCGGCGGCCGCTCAGTCGACAGGGGGAAGGCGCAACGCTGGCCGGTGCGTCTCTCCTCACAACACCAGCGACCGGGGGTCTGCAGTGCCGCACGTGGACCGGTGGAACGGCGATACAGAGCGCGGTGGTGGCTCCTGGGTGACGCACGGGCACGCTACCAAAGGCCCGAGTGGACCAAGGATTAACTAGCCCGCTCCGCGGAGCACGATGAGGACCGCGCTGGATGCAATAGCCCTGGTAAGGCCCGCACCGTCGATGCGGCGTGGTCACAGCTGAGAACTGTGTGATGATCTGCTGTAAATACCCGCAGCTTTTGGCCACCGAAGCTCGTGTAAGGTCTGAGCCGTCGCTCAATTCAGTCATCTCTGCATCTGCGAAGGACGCCCACGTTAAGTGTGAGGTTGATCTCCCGACGCGTGAGATGAATGGAGCCGCGCGGCGCCTGCCCTGCGCGCGGCCTTACACCACCCGTGCACGCTCTCGAGACGTTACGCCACGGCCTCTGTCGTAAGAGGCCGGACGCGTGCCGCGGACTCGGCACGTCTCTCCGGCCATCAGCGCCAACAAAAGTGAAACTTCCCCCGGCGGCGGGCGGCCTGTTTCGCGACGCTCCGACGGCGTGCGGGGGCCACCCGACCGTGGACACTCCGGGTGTGCTGTATGGTGTTCTGTGGACCGCTTCGGCGGACGTCGGCGCGCGCTGTGGACCGACCGCTTCGACCGACGCCGACGCGCGCTATGGACATCTAGCGTACACTCTGTGGATGGTTGACGGATGATCGGTGGGGCTTGGAAATGTTCGGGTGGGTTTTTGCGCATGCCCAGCGGACACTTGCTAGGAGATCGGATGACAAACCCGGCCCGCGTTCAGCAGGTATTTAAAGTGCGCCCCTCATACATCCCGTCCACTTTCCGCCAGCGTTGCGCGGAAGTCTGGCTCGTCCTTTGGTGAACTATGACAGCCATTCTGCAGCCATTCCGCAGTTATTTACGACGCTCCGCGAGCGTTTCTCGGACATTTTGCGGACGTTTCGTGAGCGACCTGCCACCCTTCGGCAACATCCTGTTGCGGAGGCGTGCACGGCACCAGCGCCAGTCGCCGCCCCGGTAACCTTGGAGCGCTCCAAGCAGCCCGCCTACGGTTCTGGCCGGACCGGGGCCGGCCGCGGCGGCGGCGGCGGCGGGCACAGATGGTCACTATCCAGAGAAAAACGGACGGACGGAAGGTGGTGATGCGGTGGCCTGTGTGGTCATGCCGGAGGTCGGAGGATGCTCGTGCGGGTTGGGGGTGGCTTCAGATGCAGACCTCCCTGCTGTTGGTGTGCGAGGTCAGGCCCGTCGGGGTCAGGTCACAGCCGTTACAGGAATGACCTTAGAAGAAGCTATTAGTTTGGAATGTTGTGTTCCTTGGAGGACAGCTGACATCGCTAGCAAATCCCGTGGTTCAGCTTCGCCTCGTTGGTGTTGGTGTTCTGCACTGATGCCATAAGCTCGAATGAGTTCTCGTTCTTGTAGAAATAATGTTTTTTTCCGAGATTTCAGTCGGCCACAAAGCTTGACAGCCTATGTCGCGGCTCGAGGCCTGGGGGTGTTTGGCTGAGATATCCCCTTTTGCTAACGTGGATGTATGCAGATGATTCACATAAGCTTACGTCATATTTCTGTCTTTCCACACGATGCAACACAGCATTGGAAAGAGCAGCTGGTTCTTTATGTCTTAGTCTATCATCATTCTCCGAAAAAGTTTAATAATCCGCGCAAGAAACGAACCAAATTCACTTAACGTGTGCGCTGCGGTTACAAACTCCTTACTAATGCACTGAACAGCTGCACTGCTGAATGCGCCTTCAGGCATCCGCGAACTGTTCGGTTCAAGCTTCAATACCACTTTGGAGTTATGTCAACAAAAATTACCCCCGCTGTTGGTGAGAAAATGTGTGGTATGGCTGCATTATTCCCACCATACGAAACCTGTAAAGAAACCAAACGCGGCATACTCCTCGCGCCACGGGGTCATCTTCTCCAAACTCATATTGACCACAGCGTAGTAACCACTTGCTGAGGCGATCAACCTCAGGTGTTCCTCCGTTACAGCAGGACGCGCCAGTTGCAGACTCGCCGGAGGGCGATGTTTTGCATCGTTTTTAGTGCTCCACCAGAGAGAGAGGGAGAGATCTGACTGATCTCTGCTCATGTTGCAATTCAGACAAGGCCGTGGCGCGGGTATGTCAGCGCTAGCCCATCCTGCGGAACAGATCGTCAATCCAATCGTCATGCCCTTTCTTGGCTCTCGATGTCGGCCTTATTGCAACAGAAGCGCCCGTTTCTCAATAATCGGCCTGATTCAGTACAACAGGGAGTGAAGGGTGTATGCATTGCATCCGCTGTTGGCATTCATAATATGCTCCGGTACGCTTGCTTCAGACCGTTTACCATTGACATGTCTACATTGCCGGTAGATCACATGTTCCAGCTGTTTTCACGGCCTCTGCCGGGGCCAGTGACATTACCGTGACTCCATGGCGTTGGCTCTTTATCACCTGTTTTATGGTAACTGCAAAGGTCAACTGCAGCCACCTATACCTCCGCCCAGTGTGGTGTTCAAGGCGTCCAACTTCATACACCCAAGCTTAAAATATGCATGTGCATTTCCGCAATCAAGTATGCTAGTTAATCACGTATAGCCAAATAGCAAGCGGATGTTTATTGTTCACCAATAGGAGATGGTGAAAAGAAGGCCATGCTGTCATTCCAGCCTTTTGAAGGGGCTTACGTAAGCTGGCTCCTCTCCTTCACAACGCAGTGCCTATGATTCTTGAGATGATGATAGCTGGCGGCTATCGAATGCTGTAAGGCAAGGAGGGCACCACCCAGCACACCACATCAAAGCGCTCAGTTAACGGTGCAAACTGGGACAGGATGCATTAGCACGTATTTCACAGCAAAACTTTCCCAAAAGGCGACCTGGCCGCACAGACATGGGCACCGACCATTTGTGACGATTGCATGCCGAAGTTTTCAGCCCACTCCGCGGCCTGGCCAGGAAAGTAGCGGCGTTATGCCCACCCGGCCGGCTCGTTTTTGACCCTCTCCCCTCCATGTTCAGCCGATTCCTCCCACGCGCGGTCCGCCGGGCTCCCTCGGACACGTTAGCCTTGCGAAGCCTGACGCCATGAGCGGACGGGCGGGCCCAGAACATGGCAGCGAGGGCGGGGCCGCCGCCCGACGGAGCTGGAGCGGGTGCAGGCGTCCCGCTCCTTATCTCCGGACGGCGGGGGGCGCCGCTGACGTCACTGGTGTGAGATCTGCGCTGGGGTCGGGACGGGGATCCGACACGGGGCGACTGGTGGGCGCAGCGAGGACCTGGAGCCGCTCAGCCCGCCGCGCGGAGCGAGCGGGCAGTGGGCGGAGGCTGGCCCTGGGCCGCCCACTGACGCATCAAGGTCTCGAGGTCCTTCCAACTGCCGCGCCGGGCAGGCCCTCCCTGGTTATGGCAGTCGTCACCCTCGCAGCCGCACAAGCTGATGCGGTGGTGACCCGGGTACTGGCCTACAGCCACACAAACCAATGTAGCGGTGACCGGGCGCCTGGCTGCAGCCATGCAAACCAGTGAAATGGTAACCGGGGACCGTACTATAGCCACACACACCAATGTAGCGGCGACCGAGCGCCGGGCTACAGCCACAGAAAGCAATGTAGTGGTGACCGGACGCCGGACTACAGCCATACAAACCAGTGAATTGGTAACCGGGGACCGGACTATAGCCACACACACCAATGTGGTGGTAACCGGGCGCCGGACTATAGCCACTGATAATGTAGTGGTGACCAGGCGCCGGACCACACCGAGATCCAACACACTATCGCTCTCAATCATGGCCCTGTTTCGTCGTGGGCAGCGTGTGAAGAAATGACCGGTCAGCCCACTGTCTGCGGTGCCAGCGCTCTCCGGCGACCTTCAGTGGCGTGACTGGCGGTAACGGGCTGACTCCTCCGCAGAGGGATCAACAGCACCTCGGCGACATGGCGGATCAGTCTGCCAGATCACTTCAATGCATTCCGCGCTTCATGAGGAAAAAATGGACATGCATTTCCGCGCGTGTTTGCTGCTCAATTGACCCAAGACCGATCCTGCGTGAAACATAATCTCCGGTCAGGCATCATCTCATGGCTCAAGACTCTTTTTTAATTGCCATGGCAACTGCCAGCCACCCTATGACAGTCAAACCTGCCGTAAGCTGCCCAATCTTTCCTGGTACATGCAAACAAAACCTGCTTGCGGCGAAACGGCCGCACGCTTAGCACTACGCGACAGCACTCCGACGAACTAGCGGTGACCGGCGCGCTTGGACGTGCCAGACTTCGCCACGCTTTGAGAATACCGTGACCGCGCTCGGTCACCGTCCACACTCGTCACAGACCGGCGGTGACCGGTGCGTTGGGACGTGCCAGCCTTCCTCACGCTTTTGGGTCGGTGATTGCGCTCGGTCAACGTCCACGCTCGTCACAGACCGGCGGTGACCGGCGCGGAGGAATGCGCGAGCTTCCGCACGCTTTCGGGGTACGGTGACTGCGCTCGGTCACCACACGCGTTCGTGACAGCCCGGCGGTGACCGGCGCGCTGGGACGTGCTAGCCTTCCCCACGCTTTCTGGGTACGGTGACTGCGTTCGGTGGCCGTGCGCGTTCGTGACAGACCGGCAGTGATCGGCTCGCAGGTACGTGCCAGCCTTCCCCACGCTTTATGGGTATGGTGACCACGCTCTCGGTGACCGCGCGCGTTCGTGACAGACCGGCGGTGACCCGCTCGTGTGGACGTGAAAATGACGACACCGTTATCGTGACGCCGCTCGCGCCAATCCCTGGCTGCCGAGGCCACCGGATCACCAGGCGTGACGTCACTACAGCCCCCACGGAAAGATGCCCTTCAAGGTGACATGCAGGCACGGCAGGGAGGCGAAAAAGAGAGCGGGTTTGGTGGTATCAGCGGTATCTGTATGGCGCGCAAGGAGCCTGGCGAGGATGGGTGTATTATTGTCGACTGGGCGAGTGTTATCGTTACAGTTTCACGCGCGGTGATAACACAAAGGCTGCAAGTGGGCAATCGATGAGACAAACAACGTTTTAACCATGTTTTATGGGGGTTTCTCACCAAGTAACGTAAACGCGTGAGGAGCTCAGCGCTGGCCAGCTATATGGGCCCGTAATCCATGGGGAGCCGTGCTCTCCGTGCAAGTGACGCATCACGTCTAACCCCTGTTTTTTTCGTTTCAGGTGCTAGCCGTTACCGGCTTGGTAACCGGCCAGAAACGTAAGTCCCTCTGCGCAGTTCGCATGGTGTCCCATGGCTGTGGTGCTGCCGGACCCCCCCCCCCCCTTCCCCCACCATAACGGTCTGGGGCTGACGCCATAACTCACTGGTGTGACTGAAGCGTTCGCAGACTGACTGAGAGGCGTCAGACGGACGCCGTACACGCTGTTGTGAATGGATGCTTGCTTGATGTTTGAAGGGACTTGTGCAGCGTCACGGCCTCTCCACATCGCCGTGTCTGCTACGGACGCTCGTCAATACAATGGGATATTACAACATTGCATGCTAGCAAATATCAATGGTTCAAAGCATTGAAGTGTCAACGGAAACGTGTTAGGCCGGAATGAGATGGAAGGTCATGGACATGAATCCAATAATAGTGTCTGGAATGTAACTGCTAATTAACCATAAAGACACTGATTGTTCATGGATACTTTCCATATAGCGCAAAATAAAAGCGTTAGCGAAAGTATGTCGATGCCAGTATGTTCGGCATTCGTCAAAAACCTTGACCTACTGAATGCGTTTGACATTAGAACACGCACATTTCCGTATATGCAGCATGCGTGGCACTGGCAGCAAGAAATGCCAGAATATTACGCACTGGTATGTGCACGCATGGGTGGCGCCCTCCATGTCAGTCAACTAGCCAGGGCCGGTTATCGCAGTCATCAAAACGTCATCAGGGGCGGCTCATTAATTTATCAAGTAGATAGCTGATGTGGTATGCGGGCCAGCGCATGTTTCCGCTCTATGTATTGGAACAATTGCGTGCCTGGCCTGCGCGATAGCGCATCCTTTGGTGCGAGTAGGTGATGGTGGCCTAAGGGATTTGAACGGGTTTTCGCTGGACAGCATTACCGTTTCGTTATCATGCTGGACAGACTTGTATTCAACTCGATTTTGGTTTTTTTGGCCAGCTGGGGCCGGCTCACAAATTTTGTAAACCGATCCACCTCATGACTCAGAGCCGTTCTGATTTTTTTGTCCAGCTCTCAACTCAGCTGTTCAGCTGACTCAGGTCTATAGAAATTCAGGATTTCCGTGCGATCTAATATCCTCTGGTTCCTGGCTGCGATTTGGAAAGCTTTCAGTCAGGATCAATAGCATTATAATTGCTGCTTAGAACTTACAGCAACAAAGCTCGTGCTGATTTTGCAAAACAACTCTATAACTGATGCTGCTTGCTTTTTATTTCAACACTGAAATGGTCTGTTAATTTGTCTGGAGTGTGCTGCGCTTCCTCAAGGTACCATGTTACGCTGAGCTATATTGCTCACTGACACGACGCTGTTAGAAATGGCCATGACCGGCTCACGATTCAGCCCATGTAATTTACGAATGACGCGATTCAGCTCAGGGCTCAAAACGGCATTTTCCCTTACGCGCCGGCTCAGCTCGCGGCTCATCGCAAAACGATTGACTCGTGAGTCAATTCACGACTCAGCTCGAGTCGACCACAAGCCTGATGTTGACGCAACCTATTGTTCCACCGAATCCCACGAACCCACGACCCACGAAGCAAACCCACAAACCCACGAAACAAACCCACAAATCCACAAAACCCAGATTTGTTATATAAAGAGCATCCATTAAACTACCACCAGTTCAACGTTTTTTTAAAGCTGTTCAATGATTTAGAGCATTCTGATGAAGGGAGATGAAATCTTAGGCTACGTCCAATTCGTTTTGATTTCACGTAACGCTGTTCCCACTTTCAGCACCACTCGCTGTGAAGAGTCCCGTGCAAGACATTCGAATAGAATGCAACAGCAACGACATCGTCGTCTCAATCTTCACCATCACCGACTTCAACGGCATGGTTTACCCCAAAGGCCTGTCCAAGAACTCCACCTGCATGTCTGAGTTCATCAGGCAGGAGTCGCCGGTCCAATACAAACTGTCCCTGCGGAACTGCAACACCATGGGCGTCTTGCAGGTAAGTCACGGGAGCGAAGCATGGGCCACTCGTGACATCGATGTCACTCGTCGTTCGGGTCAGCAGCGACTCGGACGGCTTGCGTGATTACTGTGATTAGTAACCCTGGGTTACGGCCGAACAGCCGTAATCCACCAAATCCGTCAAAGCTTCGTCGACGTTTTCAAGTATTTGCAAATGTCGAGGTAAAATACGCCTACTGATCACCTGTTTGTTCAGTGTAGCGCGACTACAATTCCCAGCCGCAGCCTTGGTGGGGGGCTAAGCTCCGCAAAATGACGGTGCGACTAGCTTTTCGCTTCAAATGGCAGACTTGCTTGCAACAACACAACGAGAATGTTCCCCATGCGGTTATGTCTAACGCAGCGTAACAAAATGAGCCTGGTCTTTTCCCGCAATGCCATGCTTACCCGTTTATTGGCCTTTCTGGGAACACACCTTTGCTAATTAACTGAAATATCTTCACGCAGCTCCATGAGGTCAACTGCCTCGCTGGACCTCCACAGTATCTGGACGATGCATGGGTGGACGAGGCACGGCTAACTAGCGATACGACACGAGTGATGAATTTTATCCCCACTTCCGCGCATTTACAACCATCAGGATACTTCAGGCGGAGAAATATTCACTTGCATCCAACCACGTTTACGAGTTTACAACCTCTCTTGAACTGGGAAGTTGGCTCGAGGCGTAACTATTACGACCTCAGTTCAACGTACGTCGCGGCGCGCTCCCGTACCGGCGCGTCTCTAATTAGCTCACCGGCCAAATCGACGCCGCACAGTCCGCACACCAGCCGCCGCCGCCGCCTTTGAGGTTGAGAGAGAATGAATAAAGCACATCAAGCCGCAGTTAGCAGCGATATTCCGCGGGGCCGACGGCCCGCGCTGGGAAAGACTTCCACTCTCACCGAGCGCCCAGCGGAAGTCGGCACGACTTCGGCACCGTCACTTTCACGCGGCCGGGCCGGCGGGAGTCCGCTGCTGCGAGGATTTCTCCCGGGCGGCGGCTTTCGGCGCTCTTGCCGTTCCTCGGAATAGCTTACATACTCGTCAGGATAACTCAAACAGCTCCTCAGGATGGCTCGCAACTCCTTAGGATAGCCCACGCAACTCCTCAGGATAGCCCACGCAGCACCTCAGGATAGCCCACGCAGCATCTCAGGATAGCCCACACAACACCTTAGGATAGCCCACGCAGCACCTCAGGATAGCCCACACAACACCCAGGATAGCCCACACAACATCTTAGGATAGCCCACGCAGCACCTCAGGATAGCCCACACGGCACTTCAGGATAGCACACGCAACACCTTAGGATAGCCCATACAGCTCCTCAGGATAGCCCACGCAACGCCCCAGGATAGCCCACGCAACACCTCAGGATAGCCCGCGCAACACCTCAGGATAGCCCACGCAACACCTCAGGATAGCCCACACAACACCTCAGGATAGCCCACACAGCTCCTCAGGGCAGCATGGCAGCGTTGCAAGAAGTACCAGACAGCCTCTCAGGGCACGCCGACCGGGCGAGGCGGGTTGTCAGAGCCGGCTTGCCTGCTGGAATGCTGCATCCAGCTGCATGTGGACTGGGCCTGTCTGTCCGTATGCTGCTGCTCGGGTGGGTGCGGCGCCACGGCTCAAACCAGTCGGCTGATGGTATCACCTCGCAGTCTGACCTCATATGACCTGTACCTGACCCGACCGAGGCCGCCTCTGAGCTGGACGGAAGCCAGAGACATGCAGCACCAGGGAGCCGGCTTGGAGGCCACGATACAAGAAACGAGATTTGTCCAACACTTGCGTTTCTTCCGTGGTAGTTTTGAACACTTGTCAGGGAGGTCTAAATAGACCACAAGGGTCCTCCACATAGCCCTAGGTGGCCTGATAGTTTCTTGGAATAGGACTGGGCCGTTTGAGCTTCACAGCCGGATTAGAGTGAGCCGGGCGGACCAGAAACATTCTTACAACAGGCTTGGGAAAGTTCTGTCTTGAGATTCCCTCACTAGGTATCTGATGTATCCTGAACGCCATCCACCTTGTCATCCTATCAGATAGGTATGTCGATTTTAACTATTTTGCGAGGGGTTCGACTCCTTCTGTGCTGACCTGGTCCTTCTCCCCAATGATAGTTTGGACCCCAAAAGTATTGTTAGGATATGTCAAAATTTATGAATTGAGCACTAGTTGATAAATCATGCAAAATAAAAAAGAAAAATGTCATTTGGCAAAATAAAGTCGGGCAAATCTATTGACAACATACATTTGGGGATGTTAGGTTGTCGGATCTTCAGCCCGCGCGCCAGTCGATTAGTTACATAATTTGACGCACCTTTTCTCTGGCCTTCCCACCGGCACTCCCCTGTCCAGGAATGAGCATCAGCCCTGCCCGCCGCCGACTGACTCCTTCACGAGCATCCGGACCGAGTCACGACCCCTGTATACCAACCGGTCGCTTCCGCCACCCTCCAGTCAGCGGCCATGACCCGCGGGTCAAACCCACCGACAGGGCAAGGGTGAGCTGCGGAGGCGTGACGTCATGGAAAACGAGCCGAGCGATGACCTCACTCAGGAATGCTCGCCACAAGCCCGATGTACCCACTGCGCTCAGTAGCCCCCCCACCTCTCCCTCTACCAACAGAGAGAGCATCCTCCTCCAGGGGAGTCCTTGGACACTGGCACAGGCACTGTCCTCTCGCTCAACAGCCGCCGCTCCCTCCTCTCGCTCAGTGGTCGCCGCTCCCTCCTCTCGCTCAGTAGACGCCGCTATCTCCTCTCGCTCAGTAGTCGCCGCTCTCTCCACAGTATCAGCTGCCCTAGCGGCCAGGTAGTCCCTGGGCTTTCGTGCTCGTTCGCGCTTTCTAGCTTTCGACGAGTGCATTGACACACGCCTGCTTCGAACGGCGAGAGTGCGCCGATGTTATTTGATGCAGTAACGGAATCAGCTCAGTTAACTCGGGCTGAAAAGCTCGTCTGAGCAGCCCCGGCCGATTGCTAATCATGGGTCAACTCGACTGATCGCTGACCGTGGGTTTGCCGAGTTGATTAAGTAGGTTTTATTGATAGGCGTAAAGTTAAGTCAGGAGCGTTTTCAATCATAAGTTAATGTTCTATAGCTCATTACAATAAATACATGTCCGGACCCCCACCATGAATGGTCTTTTTACGTTCCTTTTTATGCCTCGTTTTACGCCAACTAAGATGCCATGAACGCGTAGATCTGGCACTGCACCTGCCACACCAGACATGAACCGCTTTTTTGCGGGTGGCTCAGTTTTTAACGAATCCAATCGGTCTGTCGGTCAGTTGCCACAACAAGCGACTGTCGCGTGCCGTGTGTGGCATGACGAAAAGAAGCAGGTGCGTGTCGCAAGGCCTCGTACGTAAACGGCTCTGTGAACGTTGCGACAGCTAACCCGGCAAAACCCAGAGCTGCGCACAACACAGGTGTGTTGACGATCTGCTGTGGGCCGGGATTGCTGCGGGAGCACTTCAGCCGTTCTGTTGCAGAGGTTTCTCCTGCGTCGTGCCACCATGTGCATCCTCAAAGTTGCCTGCTCTGTTGTTAGTTTGACACTGGGGCTTAGTAAGCCAGTGCTGCATGACCCGCTGCAGCAACTTTCTCTGCTGCATTATACCCAATGCGCCTGCCGCATCAGTGAACAGGTGCTGGTGAGCTGGGCGCCGGCCAATGGGGAGTGGCGGCTACCTGAGGTCACACCGGCTGATATGGGCCCACTTACATGGCCCAGTAACGGTCCAGGCTGCGGACAGCGCTGCGTAGTGCTGAACCTGACTGGATTTTCAGTACTCTTTGGTAGAAACCATTCCTAGCTCTAAAATGGATTTGGCTGTCCAAAACATCGTTGTGAGTAAAAAGTTTGAAAGATGAAATATTATCGCACGCTGCGACAATGTTGGTCTCAGGCACACGCGCACGCTTCGCACGCTTCAGACAGTGCTGGCCTCAGCGTGGCCGAATGGGACGCGAGCACCTACCTGTTGCTGTTTCCACCACTGTGACCACTTTTTATCTAGAAAGGTGCTGCCGGCTACATGCCAACAAAGCCGCACTATTTCTGATGTTTGGGATTCAGAGGGGTTCAAGTACGCTGTTTGGAATCAGATATTTTCAACTCGTTCTGGGACAAATGGGGGAGCTTTTTCGTTGGGCCAAAATCCTACACCTTGCTGCCTCATCATTTTTCATCTCACACGTTTTGCTACATCTAACCATCTGATGAGATTCATATCTGTCCACCAACCGATTATGTCCATGCTCTTGCCCATATGCATTACGAACAGTGTGCAAATTTTCACACATGTGTGTTTCTTATGGATGATTCGTTATGCGACAAACAAATTACCTAAGCACTTCCACTTTCCTTCGGCTTTGAGTCTCAGGTGATCCATAAAAAGTGCGGTTTGGAAGTCACCAACAGTTCTCCGGGAATTCTTCATAATTGTAATTCACAATTCTAACGGACAATTCTTCGAATACCCTCATGAAGTTTTCCGTCATTTATCGACATGCCGGAAATGTAGTAAACAATCGTGGCTGCTATATCGTAACGGTGCCACAATGGGTAGTCATTTCTTTAGCTACCCCACATGCCTCTCATTTCCTTGGTCTATCCAGTCGCCGCGGTCGCGCGTCGCCTTGTCAGACTCTAACCGGCCAGTTTCCGCTTCCTCAGGAGGACGGCATCGAGTACTTCAACACGATCGTCGTGCAGCCGCACAGGAGGCTGGTCACCAACCAGGGCCGCGGCTACCACATCCGCTGCAAATACCAGACCAGGGACAAGGCCATCAACAACACGCTCGCCGTCAGGTGAGGCGTCATCAGGCCCTGGGCGTGGGATGGCTGTGCCATGTCCTCCAGGTGCGACTTCACTGACTCATGTGCCGGCTGCGTGAGGTCAACCACGACACATCCGAGTGCGTGGTCAAGTATGTGGTGTTTGGAGAGTGAGGTCATGATATCCCGAGTTCGGCATGAGTGACGTCACATGCGACCTCGGGATAAATGACGTCACATCCCGATCTGATGATTAATGCCGACGTTCTGGTTCAGAGAAGACAGTGGGGATGCTGACAATGTTTCGTGGAGATGAAAGGAGGGAGGATGGGTAGTTGCATCATCCCTTGTACAGCACAGCCTTGTGGCATCGGCAGAGTGTGCGATTTAACAACGTTTCGTGAGAACAGGGGATGCGCTGTGATGAGTTCCGACGTCATGCGTGCACCCACGCCAGTTTGACGCGTACTTTTGCAATCGGTAACAGCCACTGGGTGCTAACAATGTGAGTTGCAAGGAAAACCAGAGCAAAACAATACATTAGTTACAGCAACCAAGGCAAACAACCTCATCTGACTGCCGTCATAACATTTGGGTTGACCCGACAATGCGGTTCAAAGACAAGCTCGCATATAAATCCGAACACGAATCAGAGCTTGGCCTCCACGTGTTACGTAGTTTCTCATGAGGTCCAAGTTCTACAGGGTGTGTCATTTCGACGAGGACACCACCAGCCCAATTCCTTAAAACCGGAGGCATGCAGGAGGCCTCGCAACAGACGAACAGTCAGGGTAGTACATAGGGGGGAGCATGTCAAATGGGGTGCTTCTACGCGATAGCCTGAATATCGGCGCCAGCGGACTTAAGTCCGAACCCTCGCCGCAGCTGTCGTACCCGGTGCGCCGAACAGGCAGTGCCAGCCTCCCCAGTTTGCGCCGCCGACTCCGCCACTGCCCGTTGATCCGGGTGAGCGGGCGCGCGACCGACAAGCGGTGCGGCGAGTCGCGGCCGCACGCGAGCCGCGCTCGGCCCGTATCTGAGCGGGCCGCGGGGCCGGGGCCGGCCGCCGAGGGCCGCGGCTCCGCCACCGAGGCCTGCAGCGGCCCGCTGCAGCCCGGCAGCAGAAGGGGCGTGGGCGGTGAGGGTAGGGGCGGACTGGGGGGGCCGCCTGCTGCCGTCTCAGGTCGTGGAGCCCGTCAAGTGCATGCGAAGGGCAGATTGTGCCAGCAGACCGGTTGTTGGGTGTTAAAAAGGGTTTAACGGCGCCATTCTAAGTAATCAGTCAGCAGTTAACATTTCTGCTATCACGTTGCTAAGGTACGTACTGGCGAGGGCAAACGCATCAACGCTGGAAGGCTTGAAAGTCGACGGGGGTAGTAACGTCTGAAGAAAACTGTATGATTACTCCCTCCTCTTCATTTATCACGCTATGCCCAAATTGACACCTTCAAAAGAAGTGAGCGGGATGTGCTGCACCTGGTCCCGTGATTTTCTGCCGCTTGTACGAAAGTTGCAAAGATGAACTTGCCATTCTTGACCACTTCTGGTCGTCATCACCATCATGCAATCACCTCAGCTTCCGCATAAACGGTGTTTCTGATCCACCTGATAACGCAAATGGACATCCACCACTCCTATCTGATACCCACGAGCACGGCCATTCTTTGCTATTTTGCGACGTTATCACGAGTGACCATTGCTGGTAAAAGGGCGGGCGCGCAGTCCTTCAACCAGTGTTGAATCCATCAGAGGGCGATCCTTTTGATAACCTCACCTTCACATGAGAATCATTGTCTTTTTCTCGCAACAGCGGTGCACGCACTTCGATCAGATTTCGCCGCTGTGAGAGCTCGCTTGCCTCGATCCTGTCCGCGTCGCAGGCGCTCTGTCCAAAATGCGAAGCCCGGGTGAGAAACCGTCATCTTTGACAGGTCACAGTTGCCGCCCTGTGACTGGATCTTTTTCAGCTTGCGCGTGCTGTTATTACCATACGAAAACTATCTATCCAAAAATTTCCCTAGAAGGAAGCCAAGCATACTTAAGCGAACACCCTGACATGAGCGACCAGAGCCTGACGGTCCATGGCACGGAATCCGTCCATGGCTTTAATCCGGGCGATGTACCGCTGTCCTGGCGCGGCGCCAGACGCTCCGGTCCCCAAGGATATCCAGTCGAGAGCGGGGACCGTCGGCTGCCGCCCACCGCCAGCCTTGTGAGCCGCTATCCAGTGCGGTCTGCCGACCAGATGGTCCGACCACCGCGCGATTTCGCCCCAGAACCTGCCCCTCTCTAATCGCTCTCATGGCTTCGGTTGAGCCCGGCAGTCGGCTGCAGTAGAAATGATTCGCAGCTGAGCGCGTCCCCCGCCGGCGGCCGGCGCGTGCAAGGGTGACGGTGAAAGGTGGCGTGACCTTCCGCCCCCGGCTCTGACCTCGGTTGTGCCCCGCGGCACGGCCCGCGGACCGCGCACACGACAGCGCGACAGCAGCACGCAGCCTGCGCAGGCGCAGGCACGACGCTGGCGTCACCGCACGCAACTGCCGTGGGAGAAGCTCTAGTGAGTCCCTGACGTAAAGCGAACGGCTCCCGGTCGGCGCACCATAAGCCGCACGCTGAAGCACCGTTCGCTCCGCCAAATCCGCGGTTCTCGGGACGGGAAGGCCTGTCTGGCCGAACACGTCTGGGTTGAGCCGCAGACCGCAACTGCGATGACGTCATCCCTGGCAGGTCGGGATTTGTGACGTCACGCGCGGAGACGTCAGTTAACCTTATTTGCACGCGGTGGATTCCGTTTGGAGCCCACGCGAAGTGTAATTGAACTAAAATATTGAAACCTGCCGGAGCAATTTTGTGATTATCAGGCTTCATCTCTACCAACTTGGCTGTATTTTGGCGTAGCTGCCTGGTCATTTTCTTAACATGGAGCTAAAAGTGTTAACAGTTTTGTCCATGGGGCGATCTGGGGAGGAAAAACCGGGGCGCGGAAATATGGTTTACAGCCATGTGTTTTGTGAATCAGAACGACACGGATGTAAAATGATGGAAATGGCAATCCATAAAGGGTATGGCACGATGCACGTTAGCTGTTTTTGTGTGCATGACGGGTGCAGGAATATTGGATGGGATGGGGAAATTTTGCCATGCATATACATAAGCAGAATCGTCTCAACCTGTACTGGATACCCTGTCTTGAGATTGGTAAAATGCTAAACGCAGCTACAACCGTCACCCGTTCTTCCAGTGGCGTATGCAAAGATGCTAAATGGGGAGGTAGACTTCATTACAAAACAAGGCTTTAGATCGAAAGTTTTTGCTTACGTGTGCCCAAATAATTTACTTACATGACAGATGTGGCATTTCATTCTTATTTCCAACTGACTCCGCCCTTTTATGCTTTGTTAGGCGGATGCAAAATAATGTTGAACTGATAAATGTAGTTTAGGCACTACAAAAGCCGCAGAAATTTGTATTGAAACGTTTTCTCCCTATCCGAGCGGGCTGAGACTGCTATTATACACTTGTGTATACACCTGCGAGTTTTTACCATTGACAATGCGTATAATGCTAGCGGCTTAAAAAGGAAAAATCCCCAACATATGACTTGATGGATGAACTGGAGATAAGCGTTGCTATGCCGCTCCCAATCAAGTTGCCTCGCGCCGTCGCTGCACATACAATTTTGCCGTCGGTGTTTGTAATGTGCGTCGCCTGCATGCATGGTGTTATTAAAAGCTGTGGAACTGACCTCTGGCAGCAATGTTGGACCGCTTTAATTAAATCCCTGGCGTAGCTCACATGCAGAGCTTAGCGCCGAACCTCTCTCCGCGTTGCTCCTGGATCTGCGTCTGGCAGTTCACATGCGTCGCATGCCATACAAATGTGATTAGTCGTGATGCAAGCGACATGGTTATGACTCGCTGCAATACACAATTAGCCAAGTGTCGTCAACGAACCATACACGTTCGCCCTGTACAGCCTGTTATGGGTCTTACTATGCCTTGCAAAAACGTCCTGGAGTCATCTATGGGCGACGAGGGGAACTCAATTTTTGATAGGCTATGCGAAATTATGTTGTAAAAGACATGTAATGTGTTGTAAAACGTTGCAAAATTTTCGAACACCAGCTGGAGCGCTGAGAATGCCGTCACAAAAATATAAGGTTTAATAAGGTGTCCACATGACGATAGGGTTCAACGACGGACATCAACTTTACTGGCGCCATGGACGCAGCGTGCGAGATATACGCGCGCAGCTGCGCACTTATGTTGTCACGGAGAAAAATAAGACGAAGCTGCCCGATCAGCTACATTGGTGCGGTACCTGACGCTATTTCACGTCATAGAGCAAAGGGTTTTTACGTCGGTGGCTTCCCTGACCGATGCTGTCCGAGCTCCCCGAAGCGCGCAGGCGGCAGCTGCCCCGCCCCAGCACCCCTGGACGCCTGGCCGTGCCAGGGCGCTGCCTTTCTCTCCGGCGTCCCCCAGCGCCACGGCGCTGTCCTAGATTTCAGGCGGTCAAGGTCACGGTCAAAGTCGCGGCGCGTGCGGGCAGCGGCGACCCGCATCTGTGAGCAGCACGGCCGTGCCGCCCGCGGAGCCTGTGACATGGCCTGCGGGCAGGTACCGGGCCTGACCAGCGCCCCTGGCTGCTCCAGTTCTCGCTCTCTGATCATGTGAACTGGCGAGGCTACGTGGAGAGCGCGTTTGTTGTCGGTGTTTTTGGGCAGGCGTGTTGCGTAAACGGAGGGGAATGCGACGTTATTGGGACACGGGCACCGCTGCTTGGGACGGTCAAAGATCTGTGATGATAGGTGTCAAGAAGAAACAGCCTGTTTTACCTGGTCGAAATCTCCGCTGACTGCTGGCTTTTGAGGCTTGGTAGCCGACAATAAAGCGTCTGATTCATTCATGTCGTAGCCATGACCATTTCTGTCACGTGCGTCGCAAAAATGTCCTCCGGTAAATACGCGACCGTCTGTATTGCATGCGGCCAGCGGCGGACCCAGGGCAGTGGGCATGGGGGGGGGGGGGCAATGGTACGCGCCAAAAGGATGTGCGCCTACTTTCTCTCTTTCGTCTGGGTTGTTGTGACAAAATGTGCGCTATTCAAAACTTGACGGACATCGCCCTGGACCGTAACAGTGTGTGTATCGTGGCCATATAAGGCGATTTCCTGATCTGTCACCCTGCTGTTCCATCAAAAATACTGCGAACCCATCTGTTTGACAAGACACCTAAGAACATATCTGATTAAGTGGTGCAGACCTCTTTATAGCGATACTTTAAAAGCGCGGGGATCGTGTCTGGGATGATGCTTTCATATGCATCGCATTTCTTTCACTCCTGCGGCCCAGGTGTGCGGATTGCCGGTGGGCGATCACTGTACATTCCTCTACATAGTCGGTATCCGGGTTGTACGATGGTACAGCCCAGATGGATGGATGTACGGGCTGATCATACAACACGATGAAGTGCATTGCGGCAACCTGAACATCTGCGGATTTCCTGGCTACGTACCGGAGATATTTATCATTTCATAGCTATGGCTGCGGTGAAAGCGAGTGTTTATGTAATCGAATGATATGCTCCGGGAAGCTCAAACGAAAACAGCGTAACAAGCGTACAAGACATTGCTGGAGTGCCACTCTGTAGGCACTACTTTCTGCCCTTCACTCACGCCACACAGCCTTATTTGGGCTAAAATCTCCGGGAACCGAGCTCTCTGCACCAGACCCATGTCAAACGCACGTCTTGCAGCGCCACCGTGCGATTTACTTCAGCTGATCCGAATACTCAAGGCAAGCAGGCATCGATCCTTGAGCTCATTTCGGGGTTTAGGAAAGAACGGAAGAGTCGTCTTCGGATTCCGGTTTAACTGGCCATTGTTCACACATACGACCATCGGCTCCCTATCAGGATTACGGCCTGACCTTGAAGTGCGGGTAACGTCTGTGGGGACCGCGAGAAGAGAACAGGACAGCTAGTGCGTGTGCGTAGGTGATTGCCCAGAAAGACCTGTCGTCAGTTTAATACATCCGCTAATGTCACCAGTTCTCCACAATAAGCGGTAGACACGGCATCCCTGACGACCACGGCTCTTGTGATGACATCACTGATTCCCGCAGTCGGCCTGGACACCGCCCCACGGCCAGCCGCGGCTATTCTAATGACGTCACTGCTCCCGCAGTCAGCTGGGCACAACTCCGCTGACGGCTACGGCGCCGATGCCCGTCTGCTCGATGAAGATTTACTCTGACGTCGCGGACAAGGCGATCGCCGAGACGGTGAAGATCGGTGACCCCCTGACGCTGGAGGTCAGCATCGACGAGCAGGACATCTACGGCCTCAAGGTGGTCGACTGTATGGTCCGCGATGGCCTAGGCTGGGGCCAGCAGCCGCTCGTCAACTCCGAGGGGTGAGTGGGCCGACCGGGAGGGATGCGGGTGCAGGGCCGTTAGGGCAGGATTTGCTGCTATTTTTCGGTGCAATCTGCGGAATCGTGCATGTGCGCTGTGATGTTCACATGCAGTGTATCTACCAAGCAGCCGAGTCTTCTGAAGTGGGGCATAAGTACGGGTTGAGGTGGAAATGTTCACAAGCAGTGTGCAGCGATGCACATTAGTCGTTAATAATCCAATCACGAGCCATGCATTTGGGTCCCGCATGAAGGGTGCATCCTCATGGAAGCGTGCCAAGGTCTTTCACTGCGGACATGTCGCATTGTTCGTCCAAGGTCGCAAACTATGTCCCTGCCGAGCTGTTATACCACCCATGACCTTATGTGGGACTTTTCTGCATTATGTTAGCGACTTCCAGACACTATGCGGCTTGGTCGCACGTGATGCAGCAGCCATTATAATAGCTAAGCCCGCCCACCGGGCCCGGTTAAGTGCAGCATTATTCATCCGACCAGTTCGTGAACTCTGACCTCGTCTTCGACGCACGCTCTGCACGTGAATGGCGTCACAGCGGCTGTTCTTCAGTCGAAAGGATAGTGAAGAGAGTTTCGTAGAGGTACGTAATGGACCACAACTCCATACAACACCAAACCCCGACTTTTTTTTAGCACTGATGCATAACAGGCGTTTCTGTGCTGGTCCCGCTTATGTAACTCGGCTACTACGCAGCTCACTGAATGCGCCTTCTCCCGATGCGCAGGTGCCCGGTGGATTTCGAGATCCTCGGCCCGCTCGAGTACACCGACAGCAAGACGAGCGCCTCGGTCAGCTTCCTGGCGCACAAGTTCCCCTACACGGCGTCCGTCTACTACCAGTGCAACGTCAGACTCTGCCTCAAGCACGGGGGCGGCTGTGACGATGTGGTAAGTCTGGCTGACCGGGGTCACCCCAAGTGTGACGCGCTGAGTCACATCACATGAAGCCCGGCTGCAGAGGGGACGTGCACCACTGAACGAGAGACGTGGAGGTTTTGCGTTAAGTTTGTTTCTGCGTTGCTGTGAAAGATTCATGACTTTTGCTTTCTTCTGATTGGATGACCATGGGCACTGAAAGTTGCACCACTGCCTGGAGCCGGGCTAGATCGGCGTCTACGCATCCATAGCTTTTGCAGCGACTGATGGGCACCCCAGCGCAGACGGCCGCCATCCCGCCCCGCCCCCGCCCCCGCCCCCGCCCCAGCACCAGCACCGCCGGCCTCCCCGCCGGCCGCCGTCCGTCTGTATACCCGGCCGCACGCCGTGTTTACACTGGCGGTGCCTGACCCTCCCCTCCCTCTTGCAGCCGCCCGTGTGCGAGCAGGGCAAGAACCTGCGCCGGCGGCGGCGCGCCCTGCAGAACGCCACCGTCACCGACGTCGAGCCGGGCGACGAGCGCGTCATCGAGGTCTTCAGCGGCCTCTACGTCAACGAGGGCTCCGAGCCGGAGGCGGCGGAGTCCGGCGACGGCCCGACCAAGGTAGCGGAGACGCCGTCGGTCGGAGCAGCGATCGCCAGCGGTGAAGCTGGGGTGTGGACAGAGGGAGGGACCTCACAGTCAATGGCAAGCAAGCAAGCAAAGCAGATGAACTTGACTGTGGCTAGGGTTGTTGTTTTTGAGGACGAGCACCATACGCATGCGATAGTTTTGCATCAGCAATTTATTTTCAGATGCAGTGCCATTACTGCAGGTCAGATGGTCACCGGCCGCCGGCCGGACCGCTCCCAGGCGGGTGACGTCATCGGTAGCCGGGCCACCGCCCAAGACGTGTGACGTCACCGGTTTCTGCCACAGGAGGAGCTGGAAGATGGCGACATCCTTTGCATATCGCCGCGGACGTTCGCCATTGCGATCGCCATCGTCGGCCTGCTGCTGATGATCGCTGCCGTCGTGGCCATCATGGTCATCATCAGTCGGCGGCGACGGCGCAAGGACATGTCGGCCACGGGCAGCTCCATCTACTCGGGCCCGTACACCAACACCGCCTACTCGCACTCGAGCTGAGCCGCCTGGCGGCGCTGCGGTCGAAAAGACAGCATTATAGGTGGCGCTAGTGAAACATGCGGCGATGGAGACGCGCACGCTAACGCGGCACGATCCGTAGCCGGAGACGCTTGTTCAGGGGCGCAGCCAGGTCTTGCGACAGGGGCAGGAAACCATCAGGGTACTTGCAGACCTTAGGAAGCGATTGGAGTGAGCAATGGAGTGCAAGAAGTGGAGGACCAAAGAAAGGGACAGGCTCCCGTCGGCGCTACCGTTGGCTGCGCCCCTGACACTGTCTCCTGAATAAAGGGGCCCAGGACCTGTAAACTGAGGCAGGCTATCTCATTTTCAAACTGAATAGCAGCTAGGAAAAAGCTCAACAGTCATTTTCAAGTCTTCGGCTGTTATATTACAAGGCGAAACAGCATGGTCAAACATACTTGCCTTAAAGAACCCGAGGTCCGTGCATTTGTTACGATTAAGAACGTCGCCATTTCACTGGGCTCCCTCGTTCGGGAGACCGATTGGAACACCTTGTGTGTTTGTTGTTGGAATGGATCCAGAAGTGCTTTACCGCTGATATAATCGCGTGATTTTGCGCGAAACATGTGAAGTGTCTGTGCTGTGTTATGAATCCCCGCGAGAACAGAGCGGGAGAGGATCTGAATCGACCCGAATTCACCAGAACTAAATCGGTTCGCGTCACTGTGAACATGCTGAGAAAAGCTCAGCTCGAGTCAGAACATGCTGAGGAAAAGCTCAGCTCGAGTCAGAGATGTCCCTTCAGCCATGCCATAACGCGAAGCTTCTGTCGCTGTCTCACTCGGTGATTTGGTGCCCACCGTATGCTAATGACCCCAGCCAACGGGCTCCGCTCCCTTCCGCTTGCCAGGCGCCTTACTGACCAGTTTGGAGACAACGTAGGTCACCAGCGAGAAATGTGCGAACTGTGAACACGTGTTGCTGCGAAGCCTTCACTGTAGATAACCATTGTTTTAATATATTAGAAAACAATAAACTCTTCTGTAATAACACGGCTTTAAATGTTCTGAGAAAAGTCATCGCCTGCATTCTCGGAGTCTCGGAGATTCTCAGAGTTTTCACATTCTTGTAGTTCTCCTCGACTAGCACCTGACATGGAAGTCCCACACATCCATGGTAGTCTGGCGATGCAGTGCCACCCTATCTTCACTCTACAAGATCCGCTACCACTTGACATCCGATGCCCGAAATCCCCTTGAAAAGCCCACGTGTCTCCACACATCCTTCACTGCCGATCGGTCTGAGGAGGAGGCCGTCCAAAGTTGTTGCCGATCCACCGGATCCACCGGATCCAAAAAACGGTGGATCATGCTAGTGGCCGCAGTGTGACGCCCAAAACAAAAACAAAAAACACCCGTGCTTGAGCCGTTAGATTGGCAGAGCGTGCACAAGACCAGTGTTGACCTTGTTGACCAATGAGGCGCGACCAAGTGCCAGACCATGATAGTCAAGAGGCGTGCCCAGAGGTCAGGCCGTGGCAGTCAGGAGACTTGCCCAGATGTCAGGCCATGGTAGTCAGGCGTGCCCAGGTGTCAGACATTGGTAGTCAGACATACCCAGGTGTCAGACATTGGTAGTCAGGCGTACCCAGGTGTCAGACATTGGTAGTCAGGCGTACCCAGCTGTCAGACCATGGCTGTCAGGCATGCCTAGATGTCAGGCTGTGGTAGTCAGGAGGCGTGCCCAGATGTCAGGCCACGGCAGTCAGGCGTGCCCAGGTGTCAGACCATGGTTGTCAGGGGTGCCCAGATGTTGCTGAGAAATGCCCGTGCGGCCTAGGCTGCATCAGCTGCAATGCTGGAACTCCCGAGGTACAGACCTGCGGGGACCAAAAAGCACATGCGTTTAGAGCTGCATCAACTTGTAAAGAATGTGTTTTGTATTAAACTGACCACATTCAGCGCGGGTCGTAGCCTTTATTTTATTGCATTGCGCCGAAGTGGTTTAATGGCAAAGGGCTTTAGTTCATTGATTGCGTACATCCTTGAGTGGATTCTTTATGGCCGCTGCGTTGATGAATGTTAAAAGACTTACTTTAACTATGACTACGCCCATATCTGTACTTATGTAACTATATATTTATATACCACATGCGCGTGGATCTGTGGTCTTTAAGCGGCTTAGGCCTAATTTTTGCTGCAGTGAGCGGCCGTGCGATGCGTGATGACGGACTTTGTAATATGGCTGAGATGAGACACGATCATTAATTGCTGTCCAGCGGCGGGTCCAGGCGACCTGCTCAGGGATCAGGCTCGCTCTCTGACCTTCAGAAATGGCCTCATCAGGGAGCCCCGAAACATTAGCTCTGCACTCTCGAAGGATGCTGGCTGTGAAGATGCTGGGAGGTAAGTTCAGTCAGCCATGCATAGCACTAGAGCCAGCAATGACAAATCGACTTCTGTGTTGTTTTCTTTCTGTGGTTCAGATGTGAACAGAAGCGTTGTGCTCAAGCGGTCCAGCCAAAACGGTGAGGGTAGTAAAAGAATGCTGGCATTGGTGCCTGAAGTGGGTGGAAATCGCTCGCAGTGGATTTTCCACATTTAAAGAAACTTCACAGCCTGAGCATGCAAGAATGGCCTGAGATTCTAGCTTGTCGGAAATATGAACAACGGGTTTTTGTGCTGAAAATCATTGGCCTACACTTTACCAAGGGTACTAGTATGATGTCAAACAAGCATCGGCTAAATCGACAACGCTTGACGTTTTGAAATTATGATCATGGTCCTCATGTGCTGTTGCGTAGTGTTACAAAATGAATAGGGGGAGGGGGACTGAGTCGTGAAAACGCTGAAACAGACACTAAATGCGTCCACAAACGGGTTCTCCGCCTAAAGCCCACTTTGTTCCCAAAGTTGAGGTAGGGTGTTGTAGCCCAAGTGGGAAGGGGAGGGGCGGCTGACGCCTTGTAAGTTAACCATATAGAGCCACGGGCAAACATGCAAGAACCCAAGATAGGGACCAAAACACGAGCACATGACGATACTCGCTACAGTCAACTAATTCCCGCAGCACACCGCCACCTCTCGGCAAGTGCAAGCACTACAAGTCAGACAGCTGTCCCCTACGGCAGCAATTCTGACCCAGCAGTCTGGCAGCGACTCATGCAATACAGACGCTCCATGCTGGAATCAAGCGCGGACGTATAGAGGAAAATATGTATAAAGCGTTTAAATTTGAGGTTTAGAGAAGTCTTTAACGCTAAAAAGCCAGGCGATGACCACAAGGGAGCTTACTTCATCATACATATGTTATGCTTGCCCCAACGTCTTCAAACGTGGAACATTCCCTTAAAGCACTCAGTTAAATTTCAAAACGTTAACATATCAGCGCACAACATAGTTTGAGCCAGCTGAAGATACTGCTCTTCATATATATATATATATATATATATATATATATATATATATATATATATATATATATATATATATCTCTCTCTCTCTCTCTCTCTCTCTCTTTTTCTATATATATAAGCTCATCACAGCGAGCCTTCGCAACCGTGGAGGGACGGCGCGCTGGTGGCCGGGGCACCTCCCACCTGGGTGGCGGCCGGGCGCAAGCTACGATGGAGGGAGTATTGCAGAGCTACACTTTGAACCCATGGTCAAAATCCGCACGCCCTGTGGCTACCTAAGCGCACACCCCATGGCTGCCTGACCGTGGTACTTACATCATGTGCGGAGAACGTTGCGATACCTTCCGATCCCGAGTCGTGATAACGTAGTCATACTGAAAAAGCCCTTCTTTGCCTTGAAAACGGATACACGGAGCACCGCGTGAGACCTGCTGCTGGTGCTGCACGACCTCATGTTAACAATGCGTCACGTTTGCAAAGGTAAAATATAAGGAGACGAATGAAAGCATTTTGTTTATGTAAACTTCACTATTTATGGTTGGCAAGCTGTGCAAACAGAGGAATACTAGCGTAGCATCGAGTGATCTGCAACACCTTAAGGCAGCGTGGACCAGTAGTCCTATTTTAAACTTCATGCAATGTTCGATCACCCCTGGACACCCCGACCCGTGTCCAGCTGGGCGTGGGCTTAAACACTCGTGTGTCATTTGGCTGAACGGAAAATGCACAGGGAAAAACGTTGCATATAAGTTCTGCTGTAACATCGACCCAGGGATATTTTATGTAGGAGAGCGGAACGTAGCGTCGGTGACCGGTTTAATGAACACCATAGAGGTGCACGTTTACGGAGAGTGTGCACACCACTAGACGAACACACGGAAGCCTGATACGTTCGACAATAAATGCTAGTGCTGAAAAAGCACCTTGCAGATTTCAGCAACTGCGAAAGACACCACTGATCGCTGGGACAGCAGAATCATTAGACATTCACAATCTTCGTCCGAGGCTGAGCACACAAACGTAGCTTGGGGCTTGGTCGGATCAACGTTGTTTTTGTTACATTCAGTTCGAAAAAGTTCTCTGGTTGTTGTGGTGAACAGTGATGCCCACTGATAAGCTTCTTTCCATCTATGTTCAGTGTGTGTCAAGGAAACAATCTAGCTTTGTCGCCTCTGCTTCGAGCAATCCTTAGCTTAACATCACCCATTGGGTGTCGGAACGTGAGAGCCTAAATGACAAGAATGCTCGTGATGTCCGTGCTGTGCTAATACCTGTAACAAGCAAAACAGGCAGAATGGGTGATTTTGCTGATGATGCCTGTTGCCAATTACTCCAACCTCGAAGCACGATTATCACAAGCTCATGTATTGAATGGCATTGTGAATGTTTTTCTCAGCCAAAGTGCTGGGAACCGAGAGCCCCATCGTTCTATTGTATGTATTTCCAGAATAACTCAGGTTTAATGAGGAAACGTTATACGTTCCGTTTAAGAAGGAACTGCGTAAGTGGGTTTAGAGAACCACTCGTGTCTGAAAATCATGGCGTCCCTATGGCGTTGCAAGGAAAGAAAAGTGGCAACAGTCACGTTTAATCACCCTCACGGCTTCTAATGAGACTTACAACGACCGCTGGTCCCACATAAGCAGCGGGTTTAACCTACCCGACAAACAAATATTCAGCTTCCGTTACCTTTCCCCCCACTTGTCACAGAATTCCCCTGAGGCCCTTACGAGGCTGTTTAACGAATAGGGCCACCCGTGCGGCGCCTGGTCACATTCGCACAGACGGGCAAATATCTGATGTATCATATGAAATTCTGAAAGGACACCTAGCGAGTAAACAAGCTACTACAGTACACCTACCAATCCCTAGATGGCAGGGCCGCCGCACCACTTGCAGCTATTTCTTGTTTGGACGCTAGATGGCGTTAGCGTGCAGAGATTGGCGCGATCGATGCTGGGCGGCCGCGGCTTCAGCCCATGTGAGAAGTGAGTACAGTTATGTGTAGTGGGGCCTCGGCTCGTCCCTGGCGTTGGGACCAGTGGCTCACTGGTGGTGGCGCGAACTGTGCGTGATGCGTGCCTGACACAAACTGTGGTGAAACTGGCGGCAACGGCGTGTTGAGCACCGGGGAGCATCTGCCGCGTGATGCCCAGCACGATCCGAGGTGAGCGACCCCGCGTCGGTTGACAGAGGTCGTTGAACCCGGGATCAGCTGTTCTCGCCGTGTTTTGATTGCGGCCGCGGATGAAGTGCTGTTGCATGCCCCAATGGTGGGAACTGTTGACGGACAGTGTGACAACGATGCGGACGCACTAAAACTGCGGCGTATTGAAAAAGTTCATTTTGGTTAGCCAGGACCTGATCAAGATTTTGTTCCCCTAACTTGTTTGCTGGCGCATTTTCGCGCCCTTTTCTGATAAACTATGAGAATAATGTACAACTACGCTGTAGTGGTGCTTGTTTTCTGACGGCATTCAATGCCGTCTTCATGTGGGGGTCAAGTAGGTATTTGACGACCCATCCTTATTCCGCCTTATGTGCTGCATATTGCGCTTACAAGCATCATGCTCTTTTGTGAGTGCAGAGACTGCAAAAGTCCCCCGGGATTACCGCTATAGACCAGTTTGAAATG